TTGATTGCATAGAAGTAGGAGATCAGTTGTAACAAGGTGTGTCATTGTTTTTCAACCCTGTTTATAGCTTTCAGTTGTTGCCGGGTCCGATATACTATACTTCTTTGTAACTTTTGAACACTGCTTTGATTTTAACGGGACACTACCCTAGAATTACAGAATCATAGAATCCTTTAGGTTGGAAGAGACCTTTAAGATCATTGACTCAACAGAAACAACCCAAAAGTTTGCACCCCCTTCTTACGGACATCTTACTGGGATAGACATACTAAGCAGGGCATTTAAAAATGCCCAGCATTGTTTTTTGTTTATTGTTTTGGGTTTTTTTTTTAAATACCATGTGAGTTTCACAGAACAAAACGAGTGCTTGAGTATGTCTAAAAGCCCCCTTCCTGATCTTTAGACTGCAGTTCATCATTCCCGTGCTACTCTGAATTCAGGTTTACTCTTTGTATATTAATTTTGCTTACGAGTACTTTGTGAGCAGTAAAAGTACACTTGTCCAGGTTTCCTGGTGTTTATTCATTTATGGCATATGCAGAGTTACTTGGGTTAAAAAGTCAGAAGAAAAAGTTAGATTTTAATTGTCTTGTTTTCTATCATATTTTTAAAAATTAGAAAAACAGTTTCCTTAACATGCAGTGCTGTAAGTTCCCCTCCCCTGTGTTGTTTTTGGACCTGGAGTATTTTGAAAATAACCTCTTAAAAAAAAATAGTATTTTTAAAACCTCTTACTGGAATGCATTTGATTTGAGTTATTCAAAGCAAATGCAGAGGACTAACAGATCTATGAAAATGATCTGCGATGGGGAAGCAGGGATGTTTGCTTACCTCCCCAGGACACGTTCCATTCTGCACGCACATGTGGGACATCCCGGGAACCCTATGAGAACTACGTGCACCTACCAGCAGAATCCAGCTCCCCAATATCCAGAAACATGTTTGGACACAGTGCAATGTCACAATCTGCTGGTTGTTAGTTTCGGCTAGAGGCTAGACCTTTGGCCAGGAGTGTTGGACTGAAGAGGCCTGATGATCTCTGTGAGGTCCCTACTCGAAGGATTACACATCCCCTTCTGGCTAAGAGCAGCTGTAATAGCTCCTGTGCCAGCAGTTCAGCATGGGGGTACAGGATGGGCTCCGTTCATGCAGGAAGGAGTAAATACATATGCCAAAGTTTTGGTTGTCATGAATGTAGCTTAACTCACTTGATTTCAGAAGAGTAATGGCAGATCATTCCAGCTGATAAACCAATCCATAGAGTTTTATATATTTATATATATGTTTCCTATTGGTTTAATGGACAATTTACTGGTTTGCTGAGATGAATCTCGCTTACTGAAGGTATCAGATGGGGTTTTTTAGTGCTTCTTTTCCCTCTCTGAGGATCATATCATGGGAACAGCCTTTAGGTGCTTAGGAATTTTTCTCCTCCTGTTATCTATTCCCACATGTGCAGACACAGTCCTTCAGTTATTGCATTGCACATAATTGCTGTAGGGAGGATGATGATTTCAAGTAAGAGAATATGAAGCAGGATCAGACGAATTCTTCAAGCAGCATGGAGCCCAACCTCTTGTGTGTGTGCACCTATTATTTCAAAAATAAAGGCAAGACTCCTCTCCCTTTACTATATATAGATTATCAACAGAATCATTTTGAAAATTCAATTTCCTTAAAAAAATCACTGAATCACCAGCGAATCACTCTTCCACCAACTAGCAAAGAATGACAGGTCTAAGTTCAGTCCAAAGTGTCTGAAACATAGTGGTTCTAGTTAAAACCCTTTCTGGACGCAGTTATAAATTCAAACCACCATGTGAAGGAGGATGAGAGGAGCAAAAGGGACGATGAGACCCATGTAAAATCAATTTTGTTGTTGTTGCTGCTGAAAACTCAAAGGAAAGAGGCTTAAGAATCAGTGAGTGCATGAACACAAGCAATACAAAAATAACCACTTTAACTTCACTGGTGCTTTTATAATGCAGGTAGTGAAACAGCTTCTTGTGTATACTCATAGAGCCTGGAGACTCTTATTTAGCATGTGGGAAGAAACAAAAGGGTGAAAAAATACTATGTCCTGAGCAGTGCTCTTGATGCTTACCCACGGTAGAAAACACTCCGTATAAAACAGTCTGAAAAGAATTTGCTGCCAATCAGCATTTCAAACCTCTCTGTATAAATGCCTGTTAAACTAAAGGCAGTCATCTGAAGCTTCAACTAGTGGTAAATGTGGATGAAACTTCACCTCAGACATCCTGAAGAATCCATCTTTGGTTATTCTTATATTGATATATACAGTGACAACAAGGTGATTAGGATTAAAAACACAAAACAGCTACCCTCTAGTCACCCCAGTCTTATACAAAATCAGCCTCTTTTTTCTGAGATACTTCCTGGTTCATGATGGCAACACCAACCACGTGAAGATAGTTACATTAACTGATGTATAATCTCATTTGTCTTCAGTGGTGTTATGCTCTGATTCAGTCTTTTAGTGAGTTGTAGGCTCTCGTGGTCCGGGTATTGATGAAATCTGCCTTCTTAAAGTCAGCCTTTGGAATGAAACAAACAGAATAATTTATTATCTTTAGCGCCAATTCTGCAAGGGAAGGGTGGGTTCAGCTGCCTAAAAGCTAGATATGGAGCCATGATAGGGGTCTAGGCAGAGTCCTCTACAGTCAACAGGGACAGAACAGGAATGACTCCCTTCAGTGTAAGATAGGTGAGATGAATCATTGGAGTTGCTCAACTCTCTCCACTGACAGGGGAGCCTATTCTTCTAGCACAGGTCTACAGACTTCTTAACTCTTTAGGTGACTAATGTCAGCTGAGATTAACTCTATCTGAACAAACAATACTGGGCAATGCCAAAATGACTCAAGATTTTATCAGTCTCATTTGATCACGTGATTTCTGTTGCTTTTCAACAGAACAGACCGACTTTTCAAAAATGTCTAGGCACTAGGTGGCCATACCTGATATCTCTAGGGGACCCAATTTACACAGGAACAGCAAGTAATCCACATTTTTTGAAACTCAGATCCAACAAATGTGTCTTACAGGCATACCCAAAGTACCAGTGACTTCAGAAAATTCATTCCATCAGCGACATTGCTGTACAGTAAAGTACTAAACTAAAGGAATGTAGTTGAGAAAAAACAGAGACAACAAGGTCCAGTTAGAGTTTATGGGTACAGCACCCTTACTCTTGAATGCAGATTTCTGGTTTGTGGGGCAGTGTGATGCAAGACCATTAAAGGATACTACACTAAGTAACCTTTTTTTGAGCAAATTTCAACAAAAAATCTACAAGAAGAAACAAGCTGACTAATAAGTGCTAAAGGCCAGCACTTGAAAAAATGGAATAGTGTTAGGTAATAGGGAATTTTAGGAGACAGAAATTCTGAACAGCAAGAAAAGAAGGAATGAAAACAGTTTGAAATGCAGGCTGAAGGTAGGTAGGTTGAAGTCAACCCAGCTGTGTGTTGAAAAAGCAGTCATAGAGCTTCAAAAGGAAAGAAACAGGTTTGTTGGCTGATTCATGCTCGTAATTTTTTGTTTGACTTTGAATGTGGCAGTAAATGTTTGCCAACACCTTTTCCAGGCCCTGGCTTTTTGTCTGAATATAACCAATACCTGGGCTCCCAGACCATACAAACAACAAGGAGAACAACACTGCTCTGTTTTCAAAGCAGGAAGCTGCCTCGCCCTGCCTGTGCTTTTGCTGGCAGCTTAGGCCCTGTGTCAGGTTGGTTCAGTCAGTGGAGGACGGACACCTACTGCGCATCACTTCTCACCACCTGACACTTCTGGCAGGCAGCAGCAACGTTCTTCATAAACTTTGCCAGTGGATACAAAACCACAGAGGGACAGAATATGAGCACAGACGAGACAAAATTAAGGACATGCATTACTTGTGCAGGATTATGTACAAGTAATAGAAACACCAAATTCAGAGACCACTTGAAATCCTATCATAGGTTGTTTCTTAGCAGTGCAGAAGTGCTAAGGGCCCCAGAGGACAAACGAGAGGGTTCTAGGTCCAAAAGGACAGATTACATGTCTTTGCTCTAAACACAGATCTTACCTTTTTGTAAGCACTGTGGAGATCGGTGTGTGACCACAAGGAGTAGAGGAGGACTGAAGCAGCCCTACTAGCTTTGCTGACCATGTTACTGCAATTTTGCAAAAAGAATGACAAAACATGTTTAAACTCCCATTTCATAATCACAGTGCTGTGCAGACTTCAGCAAACATAACCTCGTAGCATTTATTCTGTCTCTCCTCCTAAATGCTGTTTTACTGCTCTTTAGGTTTCTAGCATGTTTCCTGCTCTCCTGACTACGGAAACAAATGAAACATGCCTACCTGCTGCACTCATTGTTCAAAATTAGGGAGAAATTAAGAACTTTATAGCCTTCATCTTAGAGCAGCTATCATACTATTCACTTTCAGTTGAGGAAAATACACCTCAGCATAACAAGCATCAAAAAAGGATCTTTCCAGCAGGTAAAATCTGTCATTAGTTAGACAGGACTTAAACTATTCAGGGCCTCATGAGGTCTCCTTTACTGAGATTAATTTCCTCTTTCATTTTGTAAAGAGTGGAAGGCAAACAATAATTATTCATATTCATAAAGCATTAAGTCTCTTTTGAGTAAATACTGGTTGCATGTGATTACATATTGAAGAATGATTAAAGGAACTGCAAATCTATTCTCTAAAATGCCACTTTATAAACAATTTTTAAGTACAGTTCTATAAAATGTATCCCTGTGCTTTACCACTAAAGATTATCAGGGCTATGTTACAAGGAACAGGAAAGATAGAAACTTTTGGTGGACAGATAAGATTTGATGGTCAGCCACTATAAATATCAGAAAATAGACAATGTTGTGCAGTTATCTCTTGAGGAGTTATTTAAAATGCTGGAACATGGCAAATTTAGCTGTGGATGGAACAGTTGTTACAAGAGGTTTTTCTGTATTTCCCAATATATGCAATTCTATTCCTATCACAGCCAATTGTTTAAACTGTCCTGTACCTTGAGATGCAGTGTGTTTTTTCAAGTGGCAGAGGTTGCAGTTTCTTTTTTCCCCAGAGAAAGGGGAAGGGAGAAGAGAAGGCTTCTCGGTCATCTTACCTGTCATTCATGCTGATGGCAATAATTTTTGGTAGGCCATCAGCACTCAGGAGAAGCCGTGCATTGTGCGAACTGCTCTGTGTCAAATTGTACAAGGTGTAGCAGATGGACGCTGTGGTTTCACAGACAATATCAGACCCCGGAACAGACTCAGGAAGTATCGAGACCAAATCGGGCAAAACTTCTCTAGCTACAAGTAGGAAGAGAGACAAGCAACTCCATTACTGACAGGTCTAGATTTATCTAGGGGTCCTACAAGACCTTGTTCCTCCCATTATCATCTATCAGGGTGCTGTGTGCTCCCACAACAGAGTCAGGGTTTCATACCTGCATTACATCCCCACAATTTAGGGTAAGCTGCGTCCGCACTAAATCGGACAGTATGTATTTTGCCTCATACACAATACATTAACACCTTGTGTACTGTAGTGAGGTCACTAGGCATGTGCTAGCAGCAGGCTGCCCCTTCCCAAGGAACCCTGTGTCCCCTATAGGTAACCATGGGTATAGTGATATACAGCAAACCGAGAAAGGGTGACTACAGCACAAATGTTAGTGCTGCACTTGTCAGGGGTTGGTCTATAAGGGAATGCACACACTCTGCCTCCTGAGCCAGTGTGTAAGCTATTTATTTAAGATGAATGTCGTATTCTGAAGTCCATCCCTACTCAAGACACCTCACTGCTTTGACCACACTGGATACAACCCTACCAGCCAACCAAACAGCAAACAACAGCTCTGGACAGCAGCTGAGTCCTACTGTACACCGAGAACTGTGCTGTGTGGGCCAGAGCTGACAGAGAAAATTATAGCAATCAGCAAGAGCTCGTAGCCAGCTGCTCCCACTGTAAGAAGTAGCACTGGGCAATAGTTTGGGGCATTTTGGGCCATTCTCCCCTCCCTACCCAGTGTTTCACTTGGACAGAGCGCTTTGCTCTCTGTGAATTCAGTTCATTCCTCCAGATGGGTGTGCGACAAGGTTCATCTATATCGAGATTAAACTACAGGCAATTTAGAAAAGGACCTTTTAAAACTGAATGAACCATCTGCTATGCTAAGTATCAGTCAAAGCAATTATGTCAGACATGACAGTCCATTTTTACCTCTATTGGTAAATCAAGGAAGGTGATTTTCGGAAAACACATTTGGAGTATCTTGAAAATGTCAGTTCAGAACAAATGTTATTTTTTAAAGTAAAATAGAAAATTTTCTGCTGTTTTCAATCATTTTACTCTTAGAGAAGTTTTATATTAAATTTCTCTCAATTTGGTATCAAGGATCATTTTGCTTGGTAAATATAGACACTTTTATCTAGGAAACAGTATGCCCTTCCAAATGTTTTCCTTTGGCCAAAATCATTTGGAGAATTTGACCTGAATTCACAATATGTTTCCAGTCAATCAAAAAGAATATCTTTTCATGGAGAAAAGCTTCACCTGAAACTCCCCCAGTTCTCTCCACCATGGGTAAAAAGCAAGAAATTGACTGTGGATGCGCAAAATGAAGCACCTTTCTCCAAAGTTTCATCTTATTCTGCCTTTCCCACAGGCTTTCATAAATTGTTTTTCCTGATGAGATCCCAACTTCTCCTCAGTTTAATTCCTATTCTTTCTGAGGGATTCACCACTTGTCATTTTTAACACCATATGGATTGTGCCTTTGAAATCAGCCCAACAACATGTTGCAATATTTTCATTAATAAGGAATGTTCTCTAAGGATTAAACAGTGCCCAGGAGACTGTTCTGCAGAATTCTGGACCTTAATCTGACCCATGAACCAGCTGTATGCCTGTAATTTCCCCTTCCCCCTTTGGTGGGAACAGGAAGGACAGCAAATGATATGAATCCATTTTGACCTATCAGTAGGAAAAAAATTCAAATATACATTAAATTGAGATGAGAATACTCAGAATAGAAATGGCTTCTGATGTGAAAAGTATTATAATGTTTAGAAATAAGGTCCTCTAAAAAGACTGAACTATTTTCTCTATAGCATCTTCTAGCTTCCATTCTCAAAAAACATATGCAGGAAAAGTGTGAGCTTCCAAAGTTTTGTGTCTAAAAGAGGAAAATATGATGTTTGCTAGAAGAAGTAGAGATGTTCTATGATTTCTTGCAAAGGATTATGTAGCTGTGGCAGCACAGAATCTGGCACTCACCTTCCTTTACCCTTTTTTTACTTCCATTATGCATTTTTTGAAAGTAACATCAATGGAAGTACCTGATGAGGAATACAAAATTTAGAGAACACTTGAGGTTACAAGTCTTTCTTAGGTAAAACTCTTTATTTTCAATCCTGTATAATGACTGCAAGTATCTGACCTAAAAATCTACTAAAGTCACATATCAAGTTTTTTTTTGTGTATTTCTTTTTTTAAAGAATGATACTTTAAGGTAAAGAGAGCAGAGAAAGAAAGCCCAAGAGGCAAGGTTAGTCTTTGCTCACCTATATCATTTTGCAGAGAGGTGTTTCGAGACAAGTTCCTGAGCAGTGAGACTGCTGTCTTCTTTACTGTCGGGTGGCTTACATGCAGCATAGTTCGAATACTTGGAAGGCCATTTGCTTTCTGAACAACAGTCCGGGCCACAGCAAACGGCATCTGTTATAAGGCAGGTGGCAATAGCATGTCATTACCATGAATGTATAGCCTCATAAAAAAATGCTGCAGGTTCTCTACATCAATTTAAGCATGTTTATAATAGTTTAAATTCAGAGCTACATATGAGCTGCAACAGAAAAGGAAGGTGATATAAAAGAAGTTTCGAGCCCTCTTTCTCCCATGTGCTCTTTGGCCAGTTCCTCAGAGGTCATTAATTTCTTCGACACAAAAAAGATCTGCAATTGTGTCAGAGCTTTCCTCTCCCCATAGGACTGATTACATTCCCCAAAACAACTTTTTTGGTACTTTTAATATCTGCTCATCCCTCATTGTGCAATGAATTAGCAAATTCCACGTGTGGAGGTGTACACAGAGTGAGAAGAAGCAGTCCCCATATTTGCCAAGCAAGAAACAGCTGCACTGCTGGTTATGACTTTCCCTTCAATGTTCTTCGATCTCCTTGGTCATGTCTCTGAGCCAGTGACTCGTCAGTGGTTACCTGAGCTCAGCGTGGTGGGCATGTTGCACTGCAGCCCTAAACTCTATGCATTCACAGTAAGAACTAAACGGCAACAAAAATAATAAAGCCAACTTACCGGTCCAGTGCCAGCTGTGAGGTTCTGAAGAGCTCCCAGGGATGCCTCCTGGGTGTAGTTTCTGGTACTCTTTGCTATTAAGGAGAGATATATCCTAATCAGTGTGGAATGCCAGAGTGATTCAACACCTCTGGGATTGCTCTTTTCCTCAGGCAGCGGGGTGTCCTGCTGCTTCTAAATAAGTAAACAGATCAAGCCTTTAGAAACAGTGACCTTATATGTCTTAAAGCATCACAAGCTAAACTAGCCATTTTGTAATGCTGTATGACCAGATTATTTGCAGATTGTCAAGCTGTGAACTCAAATGACAACGTGTAAAATTTCAATATTCAATTATACTGCCTACTCCATCCAAAAAGAGAAGATAGGTACGGGGGAAGGCGCTTCTCATCTCTCAGCAACTGAAACTAGAGGCCAAGGGCAAGGAGAAACAGAAATGGAGTTGTACTGCGGTTGGAATGGGAGAAGGCGAGAATACACTCCACCAAAACCAACAGATGGGGAAGGGTCATCAATCCCTTTCTTTCGCTTTTGCCTTCCCATCTAATATCCGTCTTCCCTCCAACAACTCCCAGTTGCCAGGATATTTGTGATCTGTACCACATGGCATCAAAAGAGGAAGTCCTGAGATAGCCCAAAAGCCAGAAAGTCGTGGAAGTGGTGAGTCACCTTGTGCTGGTTTCACTAGTGAAACCATCACAACACCCACTCATTGGTAGGGCACTTGGACAGCTGTTGAACGTGGTACAGATACCACTTAGATCCATCAGAGGGGATGAAACTGAGTGGCAGTATTCCTCAATTAATGAAACAGTGAATTGCTATGCCTTTTTCATCAGCAGCAGCTGAACAAGATAATGGGTGTTAGGAAAGGCTATCAATAAATTTGCATTTTTGAGGCAAGTAAATGTCACACTACCAGATACATCAATAACAGATTGTTAAATAGATTACAGCCTTATTCTCCAGAAGTTGCTACAACTGATTAACAAAACGAGATATAACTAAACATGTGATTTACCTCTTTCACTTTTCTGCTCCGTGTTCCAAAACAGCCCGGTGTTTTGTCATTGCTAGAAATATTTCTTCTTTGCATATATATGCTCTGGGCATAGCTCTCAGGGAGCTCTATCTCTAGCTGGTAGGAAAGATTGTGAAGAATGCACACACAGTTCTCTGTGGCCTAAAATAACAAAATAATAGAAATCTTGAAAGCTTTGGCATGTGTTGAAGGGACATGTATAGACATGGGAAGAGCTTTCATTTTTTGGATCTTCAACTACTAACTGTAGAGCTTCTAATGGCTTACAGAAGAGCTAGTCTTTGTGCCAGTGATCCACAAGACTGCATTTACCCTGATAAATTAAACGTGCCCTGGGATGTTCCTGAGCACTGAGGCCAACTGGCACACAGGACTTGCATTCGGAGCAGGGTGCATGCCTGTTGGAAATGGTTCTGGGACTTTATAATTCCTGAATTGTGCCTGGGAATTGTTTGGGCGAGTGCGCTTTGGCACAGACCAGAAGCATGCCAAGGAATGTTTAAGAGCTTAAGAGTAAAGATGATCATGTACACACCTTGCCATAGCGTCAGCAAAAGGAAAGCTTTGTAGCTTTCCTAAGAAGGAAGCACTTTTCTGTGGCAGAACGCTTTTTTAAATTAGATGAGCCTTTCCGGGCATGGGTAAGCTCAGGTCTGCAATTTCCAAGTGATGAGTCTAGCGGCAAATAGTTTTATTACCAGCTCCTCCTTTTTTGAAAGTAAAAAAGGAGTAAGTAAGTGGTTTTAAGACAAAATGCAGCAGGGAGCTATTGGCACACGTGTGATGTGCTGGATTCTCCCTGAAGCTAATGGCACTGAATACAGGGAGATGGAGAAGCTCAAGTAACTAATCCTAGAATAGAGCTATAAACATGCTACTACTCAGCACAAGTTATAGCAGGCATGCTGGAAGTGCCCCACAGGCTGCAGCTAACCTTCTCATAAGTGATGGCTGGTCTTCTCACCCAAGTTCACCCAGCTACTACAAGTCAAGCATCTAGTCTAAGCAATGTTCAGGGTTCATCTGCAGTTAATGGTGGGAGGAAGAGAATGAGAGGAACTGGCTTCTGGAGGAGTCCATGTCCTTGTAGTTAGTGGTTTAGGCAGCAAGTATAATTTCTAAAAAACTTAGGAAAATGAATCCCATTCTAAATTATGCAAATTCCTTAATTACACTGCCACCCAAAGGGATTTAGGTTCTTCATTTCCTGAGGGGTATATAGCACTAAATACACAGCAGAGTAACCAGATTAAATTTTTAAGCTGCTAGCTAGCTCCCTGAGAAAACTAAAAAAAGTAGTATCTGACTCTTCAGGTGTTTCAGTATCTCTGAAAGCTGTGACTTTATGTAAGTTTTTTAAAAAGAAAGAAATTTCTAGTGCTCTCTGGTGATTCTGAAAATGTTTTCCCAATGCTAAGGTACGTTATTCTTTTAGATTGCAGAATAAAAATACTTCAAAAAGCTTCTTATTGGACTTTCATCTTAGGTGGCGGTTCTAAAAGCCGTGGAAATATGTGTAAGTTTGGCAGTTACATCACAACTGTTTCTGAACTGGTTTCTAAACATACAAAAAATGTTCTCTTAGCAATTTCCTCTAGGAAAAGATCTTTCAGCTCAAAGAGTACCTTGTCATTAGGCTCGTGGTCTGCAATAGCTCCTTGAATATAATACACAAGAGAATCAATCAAGCCGTCACATTCTCTCATCTTTTTTCTTCCTTCTGGGCCGGCAGAGCTCATGTTTCTGTTCAGGAATGAATATGTTGGTAAGAAAGGATTTAGTCAAAGGTATTTCCTTGTGCCCCTCTGACAAACTTTTCCAGCTAAATCTTAAAGATACTGAAGTTAGTGTTGACTACTTCCTTTCTTCAGAGCTGCAAGATAATTTGAGCCTCTGCTTAGTAAAATCTTCACTTCAGTGCACTCCCGGACAAAATAAAAACACTTCAGAAAAACAAACTGTTGTGTTTAGATGGATAAGGTAAGACCTGACTCAAATCTTAGTCTCAAAGTTGAATTAATCCTTTTTAAACAGTCAATCAAATTGGGTTTTTTTTCCATTATTCCATTTTTAGTTACATTTTTAATATTTAGGACAGCAGCTCTGTCAAAATATCAGAGGAAAAATACCGTAAAAATTTCCATGCACACAAATGTTCTTTAGCATTTACCTACACCAAACCAATTCCTGATCCAAGATGATGCATCAACAGACACATGTTCTGAGAGTTTTAGGAACATTTGCACGCTAACATGTAAAGGTAACCAGCGTCAGTTATGGGGCAAAATTCACACGGCAGCTCACATGCTTGTGGAAACGCTCCGAGGGGCGTCAGTGGGCAGGAGGGGATGCGAACGCAGCCGAGCCGGTAGGTCAGAGCAGCTGGGTGAGAGGCTGAGGGGATGAATCGTGACATGGCTGCCACTGCCATCGCTACCAGACCAGCAGCGTGAGACAAGGAAGAGTTAAAAATACACCATGCTCAGCTGATTCCCAGCTTCCCAGAGAAGCTGCTGGTATCTAAGCAGAAAACGGCTGAAGCCACTAGAAGCTGCTCAGTCAGCGAGGGAAATGCCAGATGCCTTCTGCAGATGCCTTCTGCTGTTCTACCACAGCGGCTCAGACACTGCTCTGCATGCTTTCTGCTTCCTCCAGACCCAAGGGAAGCCACTCTTTGCCTGGCTTTCAAGCAACATTTTCTGAGCTTTGTGGTAACCCAAGTACAACTTGAAAATTATTATGAAAGTGATTTAAAAACTCTTGAAAAGCCAAACACACACTTGCTGCTTGAAGTTTGGCTCTAAATAAGCTACTGATTTCCAGGGAAGTAACAACACTTGCAATTTTGGGATATAATTATTTTTACAACTGAACAAACTGAATGCTGGAATTCTAAACCTAGGCCTCATTATTTTGGACACCTGCAGCTCTGCTGGCCAAAAGTCAGTGCGCAGTATCACATTCCAGCTTCTTTGTTTGAAATAACATTAAATATAACCCAATCTGAGCATCCATCACAAACAGAGAGGGACGTGTTCCTTTAGAGAGTTTCAGGGTGTTTAGTTTGCATGCTTACTTCACCCACTGGAAATTACAATGGTTTAAAATTTTATTAATTACAAAGCCAGTATGGCACAACTTTAAACTTTCCTGTGGCTTATGATTGTAAAATGAATGTAGCATTTTATATACTGTCAATATAGTTCTGGTTTTTTTTCCCCCTGGGAAGAACATATTCAGATTAAATACTAAAGCATTGTAATTATACTTTTACTTTAGGTCATGCTGTCAACAATATCCCTATTTATGAGTTCATTTATTCTTTCATGGAATTATTTATCACAGAATCAATATTCAGATTTCTCAATAAGGCCTACTATAGACATCCCTTTGGAATTTAATTTTACCTATATATGTCACATTCGAGGCATGTCACCCCTTCATATGTTTATGGTTATGCTGACAGAAATGTACATGTTACAGCCCTTCTAGTGCATAGCAGAAATAGTTTCTGAGGCACACAGACCAAAAATACTATTAAAAGATAAGTGTGGAATTTCCCTTGCCAAAGACTCTTCAGCTGACATGGTGTTTCATTTTGTCACAGTACATTATTCCCAAACCCCCTGAACTTTTCACAACTATGATCATGCTGAATGCCTGTGCGAGAAAAGGCCATCACCTAGCCTTGCTGTCTAGCATGAATCTGGTGGGGCACGTGGCGTTATAGCTCAGGAGGCAGAGAAGAGCCGGAATCAGAGGCACTGCCTTGTTCTGCAAAGGAAATGAATTACTAAACTCTGCTTCATTAGGAAGCTGATGCTCAACTGTTCATCCAGTCAGAGACACCAGTGTCTGTGTGCGTGCCTCTACGCGTATGGCCACTCCATTCTCCACCTTTCCCTGTTTCCTTATCACCACAATGTGGACTGCTTTCCCACTCGCCCAATTACAGTTATAACCACCTTAATCAGAATAGGGCAGAGAAAAGTGTTTCATCTGACAGTTTAAGTTTGTTTGCTAATTGAAGCTTGAAAAATTTCAGGAAATAAAAATATTATTAGATTGGGAAAAAAAAATTGTTTCTGAGAAGTGTCACAGAAATGTAAATTAAAAAAATAAAATACAATTTTGAAACAATGGCAACATTTTGCTTAGAAAATTGCAAATGTGACTTCATCTTGGCTTCCCAAGATTTGAGGTTACTGACAACTGGAACGCCTCCCTCTGAGCTCAGGAGTTGGACTCTTGTAGCGGAGCTCCTGGAGGCCTTGAAATTTTTGGGCAATTGCCATGGTTGGGCTGGCCCACTATTATGGATCGTGGCAACCCCCATGGTGAGACTTCAGGGCTAGCTAGATATCTTGTGATTTCTAGGTGAGACAAATATATCCATGGAAAAAAAGGATCAGCTGGAGTAAAGATCAAGAGCCTTCTCATAGAAAAACTCATCTGCTACCCAATTTCTGATATCTCTACACTGCATTGGTATTGAATGATTGGGAGAATGCAGCATGGGGAGAATACAGCCTTAGGGAGATTGCTGCTTGTAGGGACACTCTCCTTTGAATAACTCAGAACTTATGTTTTGGCACCATCTAACTATCAAAAATCTCTGACTTCTGGCATGCTTAAATATGGTAATCCTTGTGACATGCCCAAACTATACCCCATGCTAATGTGGATGCACCGTATCTGTCTACATGCCTCACTTATCTCATCCTGTATTTGCTGCTTCTGTTCTCTCTCGCACACATGCATAGTGTAACTAAATCTGTAACTGAAACTGCCATTTGCCCATGCTCCTATGTTGTTTGTGGAGAATCAGCTAATTCCCTATTCAGAAATATTGTTTTGATTCAGAGGTGCAAGGTAAATACAAAAAAAAAGTAACATTGTAAAATCAAGTATGGTTTTGAAAGAAACAGAATGTTAATATATGTTTGGTTAGATTGCAAATGGCACCAAATAAAAGGGATACTCCCTTTAAGCCAGCACTGAGTCACACACTGGCTGACTATGCTGGAAGAAGTTTTTGCAGTGGTGTGAATGATTCGCATGACTGATAAGAAGAGGGCTTTTGCTCCTGGGACTCATTCTGCTAAAACTGGTAATTCGAATTTAACTTAATTATATGATAAGAATTTCCTAAAGTAGTTCGGGAAATTCTATTCTCTTCATGCCTTACATAGTTTAAAAATGCAACAGGGAGGGAAAAGTATCCAGGGATCTACTTAGTAACTACAGGCGCCAGGCTTCAAGTTGCTCGCTGGAAATAACAAAATTCCTTTCAGGAATTGGGGGAGTAGATAAACTGAAGAGGAGTCAAGAAAAGATAAGAATAGATGGAAATTAACTTAAAGGAATGGCAATGCTATGCAAGGGGCCTTTGTTCAAAGACTTGTTATCATCAGTCATTTGGTTTACATCCTCTCTTAGAAGCTTCCATTATGAAACTGAGCTGCCCTTACGCCTCTCAACACATGGTGAGACCTTTGGCTTCACTTCTCTCTAGAGCAAACGGAAATAAATGTTTAGCAACCTCGTGGTCTGAAGCGCAATGATACTACTTCCTCCAACTGCAGCTTTCCACCATCCTTGTGGGTCACTGTGTAATTCACAAAGAGCTTAAAAAGGAGCTGGGACAGACAAAGCGTGAAAAATAATAATGAAAAAGGAGGCTTTACTTCTATTTTACTGGCTGAGGAACCAGGAACAGAGAGGTTAGCTGACTTTTCTGGAGACAGTTGTCTAGAAAGTTTTGAAGAATTAGGATACACAGGGCCAAAGGATGCTCAAGTTACAGAGCAACTAAAAAGGAGGACTCTGTAATGAAACACAGCAGTTGCGATTGCTAACTCAAACACTTAAATTAAATGTTTTGGAGGAGAAAATGTAACCAGTAAACACAAATTTTGGAAAGTTCAGCACTGCAGAACTTTTGGGAACAGCTATTTCAAGATAAAAATGGAACAAGATCATTATCAGCTGTCAAGGTATAATACAGACAGCCTTCTACTAAGCCTTCCTTTTAATCAGAAGAAGAGTCATGCCAGAAATTTGCTTATGTATACAAATAATATCCAAACCCATATATTCTACGTGCTGTTGGCATCTTACCCTTTCAGACTCAGAGAAGGAGTATGGAGGAGGAGGCTAAGTACCTTGAAGATTTCTACCCATTTGTATTGGAACTGGACAGAGAACTCTTATGTGTAGGACTTTCAGGCCACGAGGAAGTGACTTTACCTTTAAAATTCACCAAGGCCTGTGTGCAAAAGTCTGCAATATTCTCTAGACAGTTTAATCCACAATCGTATTTGTTCAGCTTGTTGTCAGGCAATCAGTGAAATCTTCTGATTGGCTTACTCTGCCTGTTCAGAGCACAGTGATTTTTATCATACTTCAGGACTGAATGATACCATTACTTATTCTAACTCCTAATGCAGAATTGTGTGGTGTACACAGCTTCTTTTTATTATGTTAAGTTTTGTGACCTGTGATTTCTGTAAAACTGTGTCAGAAGCAAAGCGTTAAAACAAATTACAGACCTAGAGAACGGGATTAACAAATCCTTCTAACGTCAGACTTCCTTATCAGTGATTGCATACACTGACACAGGCAGCCGAGATTCAGAACTCCACAATACTTCTGGCAATAACTAGCTACCAGAATGGGGAGTGTCCTGGTCACTCACTAATTCCAGTGTTAGTATCTGCAATATTATCTGCTAGATGTGGATTCACTTCTCTTCCTGAAATTCTGTCAAAAGGAATGAAGAGAGCTTTAATTTATTAGTTGGTAACCGAGTGGCACAGCACATACGGTCAAGTCAGATGACAGTCTTAGATTTGGACGGTGGGTGTCCCTTTCAGTCAATAGCTGTACGTAAATTTTTGAAAAGAAGTTTTGGCATTCTGCTATAAGTAAGTACTGTGCTATGCATAGTGTATTGCACTTCAAAGTGCTATTTTTACCCTGTAATAGAAGCTGCAGGCTACAGACTTTATCAACATGCACAACAAACATGTTAGTATTACAAAAGGGAAGACTAATTACAGATTTATATTCTGGCAAATATATATATATGCTCTTTAAACATCTTCATTACTAACATCATTCCCTCAGTGCACAGTTTTTTTACTTTGTGGTGTGCTCTTCTTTCAGCTTTCAGCATTTCTTTGTGCAGAGATTTTATTATTTTTTTTTAAATTAATATATAAGGAAGGAATACTTCTAGTCACTTAATTTGGGAGGTGTGTTAATTTCCAATAAAGAGATGCAAACTGATAAATCTTAAAAATCTCAGATATTTGGTCCATACAAATACAGTAAGCCTCATTAAAAACTATTCACTGCTAGAAAGTATGTTGGCAATCCTGCAGATCAACTTCACCCATGAATTTTCAAGCCCTTCTTGTTCTAATTGTAATTACCAGTGTTCAAGTCCTTAAAAATGAGAAGGACTAGAATATGGACCTCATAATTTTAAAATAGGTAATGTATCCTTGAGCATCTAGATAAGGGCAGTTTGAGAAACTTTTCATTAAGGCTGCAGAGCTAACCGTAGCTCTGGAGCAGCCCCGCTCACTGACTTTCTGTATAGAGTAAGGTATGTTCAGAATCTACTTTTACTTAATTTAAAACAAATCAACTACTGCTACACCTTATTTGTCACATAACAAGTTGTGGCAAGTTGCTGCAACAAGCTCAGAAAGAGTAATACCACACTAAAACTGAGAATGACCCTGTGCCCCCATCGGCTGGCTCATAGGGAAGAGGTGGCTCCAGTGAACGAATGCAGGAGAGGAGCAGCACACCTACGGCCGGACTGGTTTCTGTACAAATACAGCTTGGGCTAATTCATATGAGAAAAGACAACCTGCTTCATTTCATAGACAGCACCACCAGCGTTACCTAGAGAGATTGTATTATGGGTAGTTGATATCTCTCTGTATTTGCTTTTAAGCCATCAGAGTAAATAAAAGTTAATTATTACTTAGATGTGAAGTTAATTAGTAGTTAGTGGGTTGACAGAAGTTCCTGCAGAAAAAGCTGCTTTATTGTTGATTATTTTGTATAGCTAACAATTCATCTGTCTTCTGAAACCACATGAGTCAGATACAGAGCTGTTTACACTGTAAAAACTCATGCAATACAGATACAACTACTCTGCTATAGGACATGTTAGCAAAGCAGGTACGTGTAAGGCAAAAGTGGGCAGCTTCCCAGCCTCTAAATTTCAAATTTAATTCCTTGTAATTTACTAGAAGCATTTAAAACTCAGGCCATGCCTTTGCACTCATACATTACTGACCAATTATTTCAAACTATGTCCTTTCATGCATTTTTGAAAGTGTAAACAAAAGACATGCATCTCTGATACTCATATTTAATTAACATGCAATTACTTTGAACTCACAAAGTGCTACAGTTTTATGGATTGTTATTTTTAAAGGTGTTTTTGTTAAAGATGTGATTTTTTTACTTTGGTTATTTAGGCCAAAGTGTTTACTGAGGCCTTTCGTGTTTCTCTGTAGTAGTTGCTGCTGTGTTCATGAGGCTATTAGCTGATTGCAGTAGTAAATATACAACTCTAAATCTATTCATCCACCCCCTGGCTGCAGCCTGGCTTCAATTTACTTGAACTAGTGCAAAAAGATGGGCATGGCTTACTTTGGCTTAAAAAATGTTTTTTTCCTAATTTAGGTTAAGGCATTTTCTGATCAGTTTAGCTATAGATTATGATGCATTAAAGTAAACATCTTTGGCAGCAGCTGAAAACTGAACACTTCTCTGTGCTTGTAGGTACCATGTCCCCTTTCCAAACCATGTATTTAGATGAGAAGCAATTACAGCTTGAGGTTAACTTGGTGTGTTTATCCAAATGTCCTTGGAGATGCTATAGAATGTAACTACTACTTGTGGTTTATATGCAGAGTAGGAAAAAAAGAATGACTTGGGCGTTGCTGAGCATATTCTGCTTACTACCCAAAGGACTGCTCCCATGCCTAATAAAGCTGGTAGGACTCAGCAGGTATTACAGCAAGTGAGCAGAACCTACCCAGCACAAATGGCAGAAAATACTGTGGTCCCATTAATACCTAATATTGCTGTAGATGAAGATGACTTGCTCAGCCTCTTGAAAGGAAATTCCAGGTACACAAGCACTTCAGTTGTCCCACTAATGGACCTATGACACCAGAACTAATCCTTCAAGTAAGTCAGTCTTTTGGTAGCCCAAATGGCACTTACAGGGCTATATGACAGAAAAGTGCAAAGGGAAGAAATTGTGAGAGAAAGCTGCCAACTTTGTGGTTCTTATAGGAAATGCTAACATTCCTGGGTGTCTGAAACAGAGACTGCTCAAAGGAACTGCCCACAATGAGTTACCTACTGTAAACAGCATTACCACTGCTTGAGTAAGACATACATGACAACTAATTTCTGTTGAGGCTACCCTGAAACAGTGGTATGTGAATATAGTGAATTTTCTTTACTCTTCATAGAGGACTAGTTTCTTGTTTACATAGAATCAAATTCTCTAAATGGAAGCATGTGATGCTAAAAATCCTATTACGGCCTATAACTATGTTTTGCTCCAGCACAACTAAGAAACCGTATTTCAGAGAAATAAACTTACTGCTTTACCTGCTATAGTCTAGGATTCCTCATGGCATCTTGCACTGTTACTTTTCAACAAATCTGCTGTGCCAGTCGAAAGTATAGACCTATACACAGGCTATGTGTAAGAGTCTTAATTATTTTGAGTTTGTAGAGTAAGTGCATTTTTATGTGACTCCAGTGGATAGCCACTTTGTATCCTTCATAAATTTTAGAAATTAAAATTAACCAGGAATTGTTTATGAAAAAGATATTAGCAAAGTGGTTATAAAAGACACTTACATGGGTCAAAGAACTTCACAACCCATGAAAGCATCACTCTTCTATTTGTGTCAGCAGATCATACAACTTCAGACCTAGGCTTTACATTCTTCTATTTGTGTCAGCAGATCATACAACTTTAGACCTAGGCTTTACGCCCTCATCCTATACATCTATTAGAGTGCTTATCTCCCCAAGGGGTGCACAAGACAGTCCATTGGGGTGTAAGAAGGAAATATTTTTGTATCATAAACAAAGAAAATTAAAAATTAAAATAGTGGGGTTTTCATCTTTACATCATTCTTTTTAATTTCTGTTTTTATGTATGTTTTGTAATGTACATAATACATTAGTACAGTAGTACATGTATATAATTTATAAATAAATATACATATATATACTGAGGGAGGGTTCTCAAAAGTTTTTTACAAATAGGGGTGTATGATCAAAAAAGTCTGGAGACCACTGCATTGGAGTCTTAAAATAACTTTAAAAGGCTCACACAGGTTTAAAGTTTCTGTTAAGTTACTGTTAGCTTTTTTCCAGTGCTAATTTGTAATACCACTCCTACAACCATTTAAAAAAGCTTTGTTTTCACTACTATCATCATCAGTCAGGGCTAATACTGTACATCATACCAACAACTGTTACTCAGTGAAGGTTCTCTTTGACTTCAGTGCAACTATGCACTGCAACCAGGCCTCTGATTACTGTCTTCTGTTATGGATATATTTAGTCTGTGAAGTACCCATGAAATGAATATATAGGAGCCTTACAAAGAAATCTGTTTTCATTGTATTGAGCAATAATTCTGGCCTGATACACATGAAGCATTTCAAAATATGATCTGTGTTCAAACTCTTCTCTTGGAGCCATCAAAGCTCAAAGCAAGAAAGAAAAGAAGTTGCAGGCCTGTTTTATCATCATGTTTTGGGTACCTGTAGACTTGAGTGCTCACCTCAAGCATCCTGTGGCATTGTAGAAGATATCAGGGTCAGGTAAAACGCTTGACTTCGGGTAATCTCGATCTGGCCAGCCCGAGTAAGGGATGAGAACTACTTCAGTCAGCGTCTGCAGGGCTTCTCTAATCAACAGGTGCTTCAGCTGGTCATTGGAGGACAAATTCCACAACAAACCTGCAATGTCCAAGATAAAATCAGAGTGGCAGAAAGACTCCCTGACAGTCTGAAAGACCTAATCTTACACTCCTTGAAGTTAATGAGTGAAGGAGCCTGCCTGGCACTTGATATCCTGAAGAGGAGCAGAAGGGGGTGACAAAGAGTCCACCAGCCCTGATCTGAGGACATGGAAATGGGACAAAAAAATGGGCACAATCATCCATGTAACTGAAGTTGTACCTCTATACAGTCAGGCTAATGCCCAACCGAGAAGTGTACTTTTCCTTGGCTCTGCATGTGCATTGCCCTTCTGCAACAACCACCTTCTCCATTATCAAAGTAACACAAGTTAAACAGAGCTAACACCACTGACACCAGTCATCATTCTCCGCAATTCCAGGGGGGAATTTGTCCCTTCTGGATGCCTGCCAGGACCAGTTGCACTTCCAAGCACCAAGCAAAGACCAATGAGTGGGAGAATAAACTTGCATGCAAAGGGGGTAGATGGGAGGTACGGAGAGTGAGTTTACAGGTCTTTGGAAATCTGCTGGAAGACAGGAGATGCCCATTACCAAGTTTCTCTAACACTTGATAGCAATATTCCTCATAGAAGGGAAAGCTGTTAAACACTGCTTAGCCATCACTGTCCAGACATTTGTCACTAAACAAATCATTATGTAACAATACACAGCTTGTCTACTCACAATCTCCAAACACCAAAACAAATCTCAAATATAATCTTGTATAATCGAGTAGCTTTGGTTATGGTTCTATTCCAATCAATGACAATACTTTTTAATTTTTTTCCCTGGTAAAAGACACATATTTCTGCTTTTTACTACAAAGGCATTCATTGTTTCCCCAGCTTGCTGCTCTAAGTTTCACAGACCTCCTCCTCCAAACACTGGCAGAGTATTTGAGAATGTTCCTTTCATCAGTTCACAACAAAAAAAAATGTTTCTTTTGTATCTCCTTACACTCCAAATTTAATTTCAGCTATTGTGAGCAATAGTAAAATCTAAACAACAGCCAGCCAGAAGCAGCCCATTCCTCCTTCTGGGATCAGCTTTTCAACCTCTGAATTAAAGGATAAAAGGAAGAATGTATTTTCCTGAAGGATGAGAAAGGCTTATGGGAAATCAGACATGCAGTCCAAAGGGCACTGACAAGGGAAGCGGGTTAAAACAGAATAGCACAAATTCAAGGGCACAAGGACAGAATATTATATTAAAAGGACTAAGTGCATTTTGAATTATAGACAGATACCTAGAACAAAATTGTCAGAACAGAACTGAGATGTTGCTTACACTAAATTTTCCCACAAAAATCCATTGTTTAGAAAAAGGCACTGTCTCACTGGGCTCAGAAAGATTCTCTTAGTGGCATTCTGGGTGTGGATGAATTTGTTCACATTAGAAAATATCTTTAGAAGTGGGCTTTTTCCTTCCAGCTATGCTATAATGTATTATAGGGGGACAGTTTTCCCTTAGATGGTTATTTGGGAAAATGAGTGGGGTCTCCTTTTAAATTTATATTTCTTTTAATGACAGCTCTGTTTGTGCCGTAATCTTCCATGCAGGAAAAATCTTCTTTCGTTTCTTAGATTTATGCTGCTTGATAACAAGATCAAGGGGTTAGATACTCCCTGGAGGCTCATCTGGCTTACCTTCAAAACCTGTTTTTTTCATGCCACAGCCATTTTACTTTCTGTTCCTCAGTATGCTCTCCAAATATTACACAATGCCATTCCTGTTTTGGCTTCTGCATTGTCTCCAAGTGACATCCTCTCCTACTATTCAGGAGTAACCTCATTCCTCATTCCAAAGAGATTTGCAAGACATTTGTTTGTGCTCTCCTACTATTCAGGAGTAACCTCATTCCTTTTCTAAGAGATTTGCAAGACATTTGTTTGTATGTCAAACAAAGGACAGAGCCTATGGTTCCTTCACTTGTATCAATGATCGGGCAAATTCAGCCAGTGTGATCTTGAGGAGGTCTCATTCCCCCTGAGAAGAGGTCATACAAACACAGAAATTCCACAGAGAAACTGGGCAGATATTTTCTGCACAAGGGCATTAGGTAAACTGGTCCACGGCAGCTTTCAAACCAGTGTCATAAGCACAAAGCCACTTTGGTTGGGGTACTGGTTTGGTGCTTTTTGTGCATTCTAGGATGCACAGACTGTGAGGCAGGACACAGCACTTCCTATAATCAGCATTTATCTCCATAGACTTCCAATGCTTTCAGTCTTTTTATAAGTAAACTCCATGATTATGCTCAGACTGTATTCCTCTGCCTAGATCTTGAAGAAAATACAGGCCATCAAAATATTCTTTGAGAATATATGATATGATATGGCCTAATCATAGAATCATAGAATGTATTGGGTTGGAAGGGACCTCTAAAGGTCACCTAGTCCAAGCCCCTACAATACGCAGGGAAATCTCTAACTAGGTCAGGTTGCTCAGAGCCCCATCAAGTCTGGCCTTGAATGTCTCCAGGGATGAGGCTTCCATTGCCCCTCTGGATAACCTGTTCCAGTGATCCACCATCCTCATATTAAAGAACTTTTTCCTAACGTCCAACCTATATCTACCCTTTCTTAGCTTAAAACCATTACCCCTCATCCAATCGCTACAAACCCTTGTGAACAGTTCTTCCCCTGCCTTCTTATAGGCCCCTTTCAGGTACTGGAAGGTTGCTATTAGGTCCCCCCGCAGCCTTCTCTTCTCCAGGCTGAACAACCTCAGCTCTCTCAGTCTGTAGTAACACTGCTTGTACTCATAAGCCAGTGACCTTAAAGATAAGCTTCTAACGCTGAGGTGCACTTATCTCATGTGCACAAGTATTAGATCATATTTCTAACAAGTAATGAAGTACAGTATGAGAAAACTTCTATGTCTTGGACTTTTAACTTCCTTCTCTCCAACAAATTTCTTATCTTCATGTAGTTTTTTCAGGTGGAGTGCCTCAGTATCGTGCTTCCTACACAGCAGTAGAAACAAAAAGCTTTCCTCTGCTAAGCTTAGACATCTTTATTAATGAATATCACACGCTTTCGATCCTTGGCCTGGAGTCTTTCACCGGAGTTCAGTGTGGTATTATCAGATAGCAAGATTATTTTACTAATCTTTTATGGGGAGGGCATTAAGCTAATTACCATATCACACACTGGAAGTCTCTAATTTACAGTGAAAGTAGGCAAGTCATAAGTATGATGTGAAAAGACAGATGGGCTTCTCATGCTGACCAGGTGAAAGACTAAAGGTTCTGCATTAACCTTTCCCTGGAAGTGTTACAACACCACAGTGCAACTGCATGCATAGCTACGATATTCCACTAGTCCTTTACAATGCCAAAGGCAAAAGGAGAAACAATGTTAGTAGGTGAGCCATCAGTCAGACAGAGGAACTGTTGTTCATCAGGGTTTAATCATTTTGGTAGAAAGTCACTCAGACGTTTGCATTGGAAAAGCCTTCTGTTGCAGCCCTTCTCAGGTTACATAGTCAATCTGTACAGGACAGTAATTCCAGTGTTTTCTAGATACCACTGTACATGCCAAGATCATATGGAAGCACTGACCTTAGTAAGCATACGCTTAACTATGACTGTCTACCTCCCGTCTGAAGCCCAATCTTTGCCTGCCTTTGAAGTGTGGGGTGGGAAAGAAAGTGGCTGGAAGCAAAGTTAATATTCTCAAAGAGATTCATTCAATCAGGCTGCCCTTTGCCCTGTAAGCTCCTTGCAGCTTGCTAGGGAGCTAGAAGAATTGCTCAAGTAATCGTAAAAAGTATGCCCTAGTACCATTTTCACCAAGTGCACTTCCTCCTGACTGCACATTTGGTCTTGAACAAAGCGAGAAATACTTCTCTCTTGGTGTATTTTTAAAGCCATCCCTTCCAACTGATAGGCATGGAAGTCATTCAGAATATTCTGCTCTACACAAACTACAACATCCTGCTCAATATTGTTTAAATATTTTGTTGGTGTCTTGTATATTTTATAAGTAAATATTCATGTTCAGTGACACCAGTAATTGCAGAAAGAGAGTGCCCCTTCATTCATTTTCACACTGGTGAAGGGGAAGACAGTAATATTCACATTATCTGTAAGAGTTATCCTGCACAAACAGTCAAAGCTTTTGTCAGAAATGATGAAATTTCTAGCAAGAAAAGAGTATTAGCTTTCTGGCCACTGTACCAACATTTTGCTGCTTCCCTCACTGGTGTGTAGTAGCACTGACAGACAACACACTATACAATAAGTTACTAAGTGACCCAATTCTGCATCTGATGAATGTGAAAAACTTTAAAACATTTTAATGTTGCGGAGATGTAGAACTGAGCCAAAAGAGCCAACAATACAAAGCTTTGTTCTCCAGCTTAGGGAGCACAGTATTTCAAATACTTAAAAGAATGCAGAATTACAGAAGGTCTCAACATGCCTTTGCTTCAAGGCAGGGCTGCTTGACACCTTCTGTATCATTTCAAGCACTGTTTTTTAATAGCTTGTGTTCCTGGTATCTTTAAAGATCACTTGCAATAAATTCCCATTCATTTATTCATAATATTTTCTTCCATTTATAAAATATAAGCCTGCTCTTCCTTTGCATGCTAACTAGAATGAATGTGGGTCACAAGCAGTTGACTTCCTAGAGACACACTATGGTCAACAGGATTGCAGGGATGAAGTGGTGGGTGTTTCTTAACTGGCTGCTGCAAAGCCAACAGGGCAGTAACCACAGGTTTCTTTGTGAGTAATGGTGGACATTTCCTCCCACCATTCCTACTGTTACATTGATGTACAACAAGAGGTGTAATATGGGGTTTCTGATCCAAAGGGCTCTACCTTCAAAATTGCAGTCGGCACTACTCATTTTTAAACAGCTCTTCCTCAAGGGCATTGGAAATAAAAGAATGAGAATATAAGCCTTGCAAAGACTGACTCCAGAATGCAGGTCACTCCACTGATAGTGCTATACAATCTTTACAGGCAAATGAATGCCCTGCAGGAATACTCTCCCCTGCACACAGAAAGGAAGCACACTGTTGCTGTGGCAGAGTTTTCTGCTTGTCACAGATCTGAGAATCATAGAATCATAGAATCCAAGGTTGAAAGGGACTTCAAGGATCATCCAGTCCAACCTCTCTTGGCAAAAGCACAGTCTAGACAAGATGGCCCAGCACCCTGCCCAGCTGAATCTTAAAAGTGTCCAGTGTTGGGGAATCCACTGCTTCCCTGGGGAGATTATTCCAATGGCTGATTGTTCTCATTGTGAATTTTTTTCCTCTTGTGTCCAATCTGAATCTCCCCAGAAGTAACTTGTACCTATTGCCCCTTGTCTCTTGCATGTGACTCCTTGCAAAAAGGGAGTCTCCATTTCTTTGCAGTCTATATATACTGCAACATGGTGATAAGGCCTCCCCTAAGGCTTCTTTTCTCA